ACAGCAGTGAACAAGGTGAAGAAGGGGAAGTCCGTTTGTCAGGTGACAAGGAAGATGAACATGTGCAGGATGACATTAAAACATACATGGAAAAGAAAAAGATGAGTGGAGAAGAAAAAGGCCAGAAAATAAAAGAACTGGACTTACCGTTATCAAAATGCAGATTTACAGAGAAGCAAAACTGGGTACTTGTTTAGAGCTTCAACTTATGTAAATATGAATGTTATTGTGAACTTTTGAACTATGCTGGATTAGTTTAGGAGGTTGTTGGGGCCGACATCAGTGCTAAGTTTCTAAGGTGCAGTGGTTCAGCCCTCGTGACAGTTTCATTCAGTTTCTGTAATTCTGCTTCACTTACATTTGTCTCTAGAACACTTTCACTCTAATCCATTATACTGGTCTACACGCTGTACCGTTCCATTGTGATGAGAGAGCTGATGTGAAAGCTAAGCTCTCAATTTACAGACCAGTCTGCATCCTTACCCTCACCTGTGGTCACGAGCTTTCTGTAGTGATCGAAAGAACACGATGGCGACACAAGCGGTGGAGAAAAGGGCGACTTGGTTGGGAATTATTTGTTTTAATGTCTATATTTAGAGTTTCAATGAGTATTTTTTTTTACTTTCAATACAAAATTTTCTGTTTATTTATTTCACTTACTGGCATTGAAAAAGAATATTGTATTTTTTTTTTGTTTCATTTTAAACTGGCTTCTTTTTAACCCCATAAGAAATCAGATGATAGAGCACAGAGAGCGGAGCTGCGGCACTACATGAAGAAGCAGTGATGTGCCACCGATTTCCTGTCCGATCCGATACTTTGTACAAAAATTTTATTTATTAATTTATTAATTTATTTATTTAGATTTACTCTGAGGTGTTTGAGGGTTAGTGGTGTTGCCACAACACCTCACTATCTTGCCACATGTATCGCAAACCACGTCTTTGCTGTTTGTGGATGTAAAATACGTCCACATATGACTCAGTTTACGCTCAACTATTGTTGTGAGTGTGCACACCAGGGGCTGCCACACATTTATACAGCCGTGTTTCACACATGACTATAAAAAGGCAGAAGAGGAAGTAGTTCCTTCCAATGTAGACAATCAGAATGATATAGTTTCTTTCCACGGTGTTCCTGTTAATGATA